TCGTTTTTATAAATTTCTGAATGATTGATTTAATTGATCGTTAAATAGTAAAGAAATATATATAACCTTTCATAAGAATATTTTTGATTCCAAATGTTTAATCAAATCGAATTCGAATCATTCATCTCCATGTACGAGCAATATTAAATCTACCAGTATATTAACTTTGATTTTTGACCTGATCATAATATTACTTTTCTTTTTTCAATAGTAAGCAAATGTGCATACGTTCCTTTGTTCTATTCATACCAAAGGTTGTTCTGTCTGTTCTATAAGATATTTGAACTTTGTAATCGTATCTTTCTACCTACCCATGATCGTTTCCTATTGTTTTATATTCATATTCAACTCCTTTTTTCTACCATATGTACCAAGGTTTTCTTGTGTTACTTTTCGTTTTATTTTATTATGTATTTATGTTGTTTCTTATTCTCATCATTAACTTTATTTCCCTCTGAAATTTCAATACTATCGCCTTCAGTGTTCATAATAATAATAATAATAATAATATAGATGCTGAGTCTATTTCGGTTCAATGAAGCAAATAATAATCTATACAATATTTACGAAAGTTTGAAAATAAGACTCATACTGTTTTTTTTTTCATTTTTCTTGAGTATCATAATTAGAAATACTACCTGTTTTTTCAATTTCAATTTTATATTACTTGAAATCGACTGATATTAGAAATTTTTCTATTAAGTTATAGTATTTTCATGTAAAATGAACATCATAGGTAATCTAACACGTCTTTTTACCTGTATTCAATGCAAAATTTTATTTAATCTTCAATTTTGAAGAGTTGTCAATAATCTACACCTTAAATACCATAATGAGAAAATGAAAAGTGAACGTGTCAATAAAATGTTTGATATAGCTTTTCTGTTGATTAGAATATAAAGCACGTTTATAAATCAATAAAAAAAGTGATGCACTCGAAAATAATTCATTTACTTTTCTTTTTTTTTTTCATTTAATATTCGATGAACTGAAGCAATGAAGTCAAGTATCCTCTTATACGTGACCTATCATTCTTCTTTCGAGACGAAATTTAAAAATTTTTCTCCCATCGGTTAGTATATTACTATTAATCAAGTAGATTGTTTTATTGTTCTTTCAATTAATAAATATTTATATATATATATATACGTCAGCATATCAAAACAAACACATTCAATGAAGCGCACTGATTCGTTGTATATATATATACGAGATTTATGAGCAAATGTTCGTTGTTTAGACGACAGCATATGTATATATAGAATAGAGAACGAAAAGAAAAAAAAATGAGCTGTAGAAGGTACTACAATGTCCAACTATTTCCCTTCAATGTTTGCTGTCACAATTCTTTACTTCTTCTTAAAGGTGTGAATAGAAGAGCTTAGTGTAATACACTTGATGAAGCCAAATAGTTCTATATTTATCTTATTTGTTATTGGAAGTGTCACATTAGATTCAATATCTAATCCTGGTAAGTTTTTAATTTTTTTTTTTTTTAATCATAATCATTTAGTTTTTTTTCTATTAAGATACATGCTCTGGTCGATGGCAAGTTATTGATAACATAAATATTAAATTTACATTAGATTGGCAAATTCATCCAGAGACAAATCAAGCAGTCATAGAATTTCGAACAAATCTTGTTGCGCAAGGTTTTTGGTATGCTTTTGGATTTTCAGCTTCTCTAGATGAACCAGTATGTATAATAAAATACAAAAAAAAAAAAAAAAGATTTGTAGTTTGTTTTTTTTGTTATAATTGAAAAACATAATCCTATATAGACAGTTGGACTTGTTTATGCTCTTCGATGGAATGAAAATGATACTGAAGTTTTTTGGGATATCTATAATGTGACAAAATCAAATGTTATTATTGTAAAACAAAATAATACGTCTTTAGTTACATTTCAACGTTTATTATCATCGGGTTTATTGACTGTACGACCAACAATTAATTTAACTTCATATCTTATTGAACAACAATGTTTTTATTTTGTTTATATGCGAGGACGTTTTTCTGGTGATATACCATTAATACCAGATGAAATACTTTTTAATCGATCTTTATGTCTTACATGTCAACGTAAATTAAATTAAAAAAAAAAAATCTAATTTAGATATTTATTTTCTTAATTGTAGAATTTGAATTAACATCAACATATCGTAATCCAACTATAGAAGATACGACAACTGATCTGACAATAATTCAAAATTCAACAATTGAGCTTGTTCATGATTCTACAACTAAAAATTTAATATTATTGAATAAAAATATTTTAACATCGACTTTTTTTCAATCAACACTATCATCTAATCGTAGAACAGGTATATTATAAAGAAATGCCATCTTTTGTTATATTAATTATATATGATGATTTATATGGCGTACTTGTTTTAGAATATAAATTCTTCTGGTTTGGTCGAATACTTGATCGTTCGTGGTCAACTGATTATTTTAATTTTAGTTCTCTTTTAAGTCAAAATTTACGTTTAGATCTACAAAATTTGGTAGATGATATTTTATTCCATATGAGTTAAATTATTTTGAATTTTGTCTCTTTTTTCTTTTTTTCATTTAGTTCTTATTTTTAATTAATCATAATTCACCATATTCTTTTCTTTGTAATCAATTTGAATTCTATTCATTACAGTGAGTGACTAGTCTTTTGAAGAAAGAAAAAAAAAAAAAAAAAGTTTACTTTTTCCTTCACCGTCTCCTTGTAATTTCAGATCTGGTTCCATACTTTTTGCAAGTAACATTACTCTTATCTCAAGTCTATCCGAAAATCATACAATAGATACAATTGAAAAACTAATAAAAACTATTAACAATACGAAAAATTTTAATCTTAATTTTGATCGATCAGCACATCATATAAAACGAGCTAATAATATATTAGAAATTGATATTTTATTCAAGAGATTTTCTCGATCAATTGATAATGATATTTTAAAACAAGTAGAAGGTATTTATTTCTTCTCATTATTAACCTATAATTCTTTACTGTTTATGTTTCATTTAGTTAATTCAGCATTACATTTACTTCTTGGTTGTATTGTTAGTATAAGTTGTTTAATCATAGTAGTAACAACTATTCTATGTCTTTATGGATATTATAAATGTCGACGACGTCAACTTCGTCTTTTTACTGAACGACAGACATTGAAATTCAAACATGATACTAATTCATATACATGGCTAGGACAACAACCATCAATCAGTTCTTCATCTCCATATTTGATACAGTCGACTTCTATTTGACTTTCTCTTTTTGTTATTGCCCTTGAACAATACACAAAAATAATAGTGAAGGATTTTATTCTAAAAAAAGTAGCTTGTCGTATATTTATATACAAATATACAGTCTGTAATCATTTGAATAGAAGTGATGCTCTAAAATCGTATATATACATTTTTTTTTGAATATGTATATATGTATTAAGTCAATAAGTATTATAGATCGGTATTTTTTTTTTCTTCGTGTGTCGTCCACACTTAATTGTTGGTTATTTATGATTATTATCATCTTACATACTTTCTTTCTCTATAGTACAAAATATGATTGTATACTTTTTTTGATGATGAAGTATATTCGAATAAGATCACATTTCTTTTATCAGTCTAAATCTGAAAAAGAGAGAGTTTGGTGAGATTAGCTTCTACAATCAACAGAAAATATATCTTCAGTTCGGTTTTTTTTTTGATAACCTTGATTAGTTGTTGTTCATATGTATATGCATATCTATGCTTGCCTTTTTTTTTTTTTTGTTTTGTTAGCTTCGTTTTACTATTGAAACTGAAGCATATATACATATATGTATATATTTATATATATGTATATGTGTATATGTATATAATACAGTGATCACTGAAGAATGTGATTATAGAGATTGTACTGTTATTGTTGTTGTTATAGTAAAAAAAAACGTAAAGAAAAGAAATGACACAGCATGCCAATACGAACAGAATAGACACACTCGCACATACACAAATACCTTTTTATTATCAACATGGTTGAAGTGGAATGAGAAGTAATTTGAAACCATGTACATAGATTCTCATTTTTTTTTTAACTATATCTAATTCGATACATTTTTTAGTGTAAATCTTCTCTGTCTGCAAAAATTTATTCATGGCAATAGTAGGCGATAATGTGACTAAGCTGATTAAAAACCTCTGTAGATAAGCATTGGAGTTTTATACAAGAAGAAGAACAATCGAAGGTCATTGGAAAGAAAAACGATTTACATATTTGACATCAATGGGAGTGTGAAGAACTTCACTATCATAAATGTTTGGCTATAAAAAAAAAAAAAAATATGAACAAACAAAACACTTATGTGTATAAAGAGGACAACGAAGATGTAATAGGAAAAAAGAAAAGAAGAAAAGGAATACTATCTTTAAGATAATTATAATTCAACATGCTCATTATTCGAATGATAAGAAGTAAATGCAATATGTAATTGATATATATTCAATCGTTCGTTTAGCTACTTGATCAGTCAGGTCTAATCCCGTCGGAGAGGAACTGTGTATTAGCAACTTTCTTTCTCTATATATTTGCCTCTGTTTCACTTTTCTCTCTCCCTGCTGTGCAGGCTTGTGTCGTTTCATTTGAGTTGTAAATACATGCATGTAAGAAAAGATGAAAGAGAAGTATGAGAGAAGAGAGAGAGAGTGACAAAGAAAGAGAGAGAGAGAGAGAGAAGAGAAAGATGAGGGGTTATGTGACAAAATCTCTTGACGAGCTGTGCAAGGCAAACTTAAAAAAATATACTAGCTTCGTTTTGTCATCGTCATGCAGACAAATCACTTATCCTCGAAGAAAAAAAAAAGTGCCCGCGCGTGTCTTACCATAAGCATAATATGATTTTCATATACTCTCACATTTAAGTGTGAGTAAAGCAACATATAATCATAAATCTATCTTTTACTCATCATTCTTTTACTTATTATATTTATGGTGATAGGTAAAAGCAAGCTATTTTACGAAAGAAATGTCATCCACTATATTTGATCAACAAAATTCGTCTCCTGTTGTTGCACGTCGTCCACCAATATCTAATGAAGACATTGGTAATAGTTCACAACGTAGTGTTAATCGACGAAGTTTAAGTGACAGGCTTAGAAATTTATTTCGTAAAGATTCTTCCTCACCTAATCGTTCAGCTAGTAATGATAGACGTGTACCAACAAGTTCGGTACGTCAAACTTCATCATCACCCGAACCAAATAGATCATCGACTGGAACACCCGGTCTTCGAGCACCTGCTGTCTATTGGCCATTCGGTAAAAAGAAAGCAAAATTATCAACAACACCAAGTACACCTAAAACTAGCAAAAAGAAGACAAAAGATAATCGAAAGACAAAACAATCTACAGTACCACCTATAGAAATATCAAGTCCCATCTATGTTCAAGATAATCGAACATCAAGATATAGTCAAAATTTTGATTCTCGAACACCAGAATATGTACATGATAATAATGAAGGATTACAACCATCAACAAATTATGATACATTAACAAGACAAGGTTATCGTGATTATATGTTAATTGATGAAACTCGACAATCTCAACAAGTAAGATCATCAGTCTACAGATTGTTCATTTTGTTTGTTTGTGTTTTTTATTCGAAATACTTTCCTCATTGCTTTTTCCTTAAATTTTTGAGCCATTGGCATTACTATTAGAATAACAATAACAATAATAACAACAATCAGCATCAATCGTTTGTCTACCTAATCTTTCAATATTGATTGCTATCGAATGCCGAATGTGTATGTGTGTGTCTTATTTGCACTTTATTTGTCGTTGTCTTTTGAATCTTTTGTATTGGCATTTCAACATGACATTTGTTCGAACAAGCGTCTGATGAAAGAAAAGAAACGAATGAAATTGCTTATATGTTAAAAAACACTTGATAACTATAAATATGGTTGCAATGAAAAAGCTGTTTATTTAGTGCAGATCTCAAAAAGGTGTATAAGAATTGAAGAAGAGTTATAAATGAAATAGCTTTCGTTTTTTTTCTTCTTCTTCTTCTTATCATCTGTCTATTCCATTTTCTTGACAGAAAAGAAAGATAGAAAGGGAAAGGGAATCAAAAAAAAAAAAAAAAGAAATACTTAATCACGATTATATTTGACTTATTTTTATTATTTTTCTTTTTTGCGATAGACAATTGTACCTGACGTCGATGTTTTTATACATCCAACATATACAAATAATCGAAGTCCTTCACCATCTATGAATCGTCAACGTTTACCAAACATAAATATTGAATATCGTTATCAAAATGATAATTCAATGCCAGCAGTTACAATTCCATATGCAGATGTTGAAGTTATTTCAACACCTCAACGTAAGCGTAAAGTAGGTGATGCTCCATCATTAAATACTACACAAATGGTAGTTGATAAACCTCCTATATTTCCTCAAACATCATCTCGTCCTCCATCAAATACAAATACAAATCCTGTACAATGGAGAAATACATCATCATCATCATCTACATTAAATACTAGTGAAACACGTGCAGCATCAGCATCATCTAGAGATCGTGATGTTCCAAAATTAAATGCTCCTTTAATAAATTTTGGTGGTACATCAAATAAGAAAAAACCTAAACGTACAAAATCACAATCACGTGCTGATAGAACGAGTGATTCATCATCAACTATTGCTAATTTGGTAAAACTAAATCCAGTACAACCATATCGACCATGGTCAAGTACATATGGATCATTACCAGATGCTGAAATTATTTCTGATGATAATTATACATCATACAGACCATCTAAAACTAGTAGTAAGTTATATTAATTTTTACGATATCAAAAATTCTTCATAATTTATTTTTTCTCTTTCTAGTAAGTACATATCCAGGGTTAAGTGCTATTGTTCGATATCATATACATCCTACACCTGTTTATCGTTTTGATGAACATCCACCAACGACTACAACAACACCACAAAGACCACGACGTTTTGATACATCAACTACAACATTAAATGACTATGAAGAAAATGAACCATGGTCACGTTCTCCAGCAAAAGATACATCAACATCAACTTGTAATATTCAACGTCATGATGGTTATATTCGACCAATGACTCCACAAAACCCATCTGTTTCATTAGATATTGATATTGCTCATAGAGATCATGAAGATTTACGTGATGCATCATTATCACCAATTCAACGAGCACCTTGTGATTCTCCTGAACCTCCAGCAACTTATCGTAGTTCAACAACTGTCTATACTCGTGGTAGAACACCTTGTTTTTGTCCAGGTGAAATTCGAACATGGAGTTCACAAGAAAACGGTATGAATAATAACTATAATGATTCATATCAGAAACCATTTACATTTGTTCAAGTTGAGCGTACAAATGAACAAAAAAAAAATTGTTATGATCATCAAACTGTACCACTAGAACAAAAAGATACTTATGAAGAACATCGATATAGTCCACGATATGTTGAACAAGATCTTTATGAAAAACAACATCATATAATTGATGATAATGATCAAGATATGCATGAAGAACAATATGAAGTATCATATGTATATGAAAATCAACATCCACAATATACATATGAAATACAACCGACTGATCAATATTCAAGTAAGAATAAGAAGACAAAACAAAATAGAACATATTTTTCTATTTATTTATTTTTTTTTTTTTTCATAGGTGATAATTTTGGTATTAACAATATGATTTCGTCAATTCCTACATTTAACATGCAATCATCAATGATAACCGAACGAGACAATACTTATGATCAATCGTCTCGTTCATATATAGATAGTGAATATATACAGGGTAATATATTAAATAATTCTTTTTTTGTTTCAATATTTGAATATGTTTTAAATTTTGTTTATATACTATATATGTATGTAAGACAATAATATATCAATTCTTGTTTTTTTTTTTTTTTTTTGTATTTTTAGAGCCTTTCTTAACAAGGGCTCCTGTTGATGACTTTGAACGAAATCTGCATAGTTGTACATTAAAACGTACAGATTCTTATGATGGACTTGGAATATTAATTTCTACTGATATTCAAACACGTACACATCATTATATTCGTGAAGTTGAACCAACATCACCTGGTCATAAAGCTGGTTTACGTAAAAATGACCGTATAATTAGTATTAATGGTATTAATGTCGAGAATATGGATTTTACTGATGTTCTCGGTCTTATTAAACAAGGTTTAAATAACGATAATCTTCAGTTATCTGTTATTCACGAACCAGAACATATTTGAACAAAGAAAAAAAGAATCCGTTTTTTTTTTAATCTAAACATTTATTTCTTAATGATCTAAGAGTTTATATCTTGTTCTATTCTTTTTTAATCAATGTAAAAATTCAAACAGAAAAAAATCATTTTTTTTTTCTTGATAAAATTAGATAATATATTATTCTTTTGGATTAGCAATAGTATGAAAAAAAAAATCAATTATACATGTTTATTTGATATTTTATTATATTCTATTTGCACGTTATCCGACATCAATAACACATACATGCATCTATTCGAACATTTTGTTCTTGTTCGAAAATATGTAAATATCTAAATGGCGATATAGATTCTTTTTTTTTTTTTTTTACATATCTCTCATACATATAGATCATTTTGAAGGTAGAAGGAAAACGAAAGAAAGAAGATCCAAAGAACAAGAAGGTAGCAGATGCCAATGATTGATAACGAGTAAAAAAGAAAAACTAATTGTCATCGTTTACCATCGAGAGAAACAATCATTTTGTGTGTGTATTGTGGCAGACAGTAGCTTTTGTTGTTGTTCCTTCTGTCGATTTTTTTTTTCAATCGATAGCTACAGTGAACAGTAAGAATGGCTGTTGTCCTTCAAAATCGTACTGTATCGATGATTGTAAGTTATATCTTCATATTTTTATTATAAAAGTGATTGATTTAAAAATTTCTTTTTAATATAGCTTATGGTCCCTGAAATTACAGTGTTAGCTCCATCATCATTATCATCCTCATCTATCACTGAAAAACTCGATCAGACAAATACTGATCAATCATTTTCAATATTGAAACATGATCCATCATCAAACATGAATATTACTTCTTCAATACCTGTTTATCATGGATCAATTGTTCGTATTGAACAACATAATAATGATCAAAATACATCTGATTTAATTGTTCGTGTACCAAATTTTCAATGCTTTTCACTTCCATTAGATAATATTGATAATAAACAACAAACCAAAATTAAACGACGTGCTCCTATATGTCCTATTCTTGGTAGTTCAAATCGACAAAATAATCTTAATTCATCCAATATAAATACTAAAAATAATTTGAATAAACTAAATCTAAATCAATCACGAGTAGCAAGTATCAATCGTTTAACTACTGGTTTACGTAGTATAAGTCGAGCATTTACTCATAGTTGTAAATCAAAACGATCATCTAGTATGAATGAAATAAATTTTCTTCCAGCTCTTCCTGATGTTGAAATAATGACAAACAAAGTTGAAATACCAATAATATCAAAAGAAACTATAGAACATGAAAATTTAACATCAACTATACCAAAATTAATTACACCAAAAATTTTATTTATTAAACAAAAACATTTTAAAATAAAAAATAAACAACCATCAACAAATATTCTAATTGACACCAAAACTAATCTTGAAAATAATCAAATTAGTCTAACACCAACATCAACAATAATAACAACACAATATGTTGATGTTGAAAAAACTCAGTCAAGAAAAATAACATCATTTTGTCAACCATTTATCGAAAAAACTGATTTAAATCAACAAACAGATATTATAGAAAAAGATAATGGTAAAGAACAACAAAATAAATCAATCAAATTTGACTATGAAGGTATATAATTTAACTAATCAGAACTTTGAAAGAAAAATAAAAACACTTTAAAACTTCATTCTAATTATAGATGAACCATTGACAACAATTTATCAATTCATTTCTGATATTCCGTTATCATCTATCGATGCCGATTCATTATCAACTCATCGTTATAGTACTATTTCTACCGTTGTACCTGATAATCGAAATTCTATCATAGATAATAACGGGAAAGATGTATTATTATCTGAACAACCATTAACAATTATTTCTCCAACATCACCTGGAATTTCATATAATATTAATCATAAAACAACAGCATCAATTAGTCATAACATGTCACCAAAAACTCAACGACCATTTCGTATTCAAACAAGTATTCTTCAACCTGATATAAGTGTTATTCGTATAGGTACAACTGATTTAACAACTGAAATAGATCGTCTTTTACCTGGAGAAAAACTTTCGAATGAACAAATTGATTTAATAACAAAGAATCAATTAGATATTGAACAAAAACAAATTGATGATAATCAAATAAAACAAGATCAATACAATGTTATTCAAGCAAATGAAGAAACATTTGCTGAATGTTATGAAGTTACATATCAAATCGATCCACAATATAAAAATGAAAAAGAACAAATCACAAGTAGAAATTATGAAAAAACTATTTTTATTTAATTAAAAATTTTTCTCTATTAGATCAATCATTTATTCCAATTCAAATTAATCTTGATCCATTTGAATATCAAAATTTAACATCAACATTAACAACATGGTTACCAGTTATAAGTCAAAATGAATATGAACAAATTGTACATGATAATAATGCTCATCAAAATAATCGAAAATGTCAACAAATTAAAAACGAAAATCATAGCCTTGAACATTTAGACATAATTCCAAAACAACGAGAAATATTAATCAATAATATTCGACGAATAAAATCTCGTTCTGTTGATGATCTATCACGAACAAGTAATGATCAAACATCGAGTATGAAATATAATATCATTAATTTTTTTTTTCTTTTTTTTTGTTATCTTAATCTATCATTTCAGCATATCAATGTGAATCGATTTCGTCTTCATCATCTTCAGACATTTCTTCTCGACATTGTACTTTTCAACGATCAATTTCTTATAATGATCGTGATATTTATATTAGTACAGATAGAGAAACACGTCGTGAACATTTTATTTGTCAAGTTGAGCAATTATCTTCAGGTGAACATGCTGAATTAAAAGAAAATGATCAAATTTTGTGCATTAATAGTACACCAGTTATTGATGAAGAATATACTGTTGTTTTACAAGTTATAAATCATGGTTTACAAACAGATACATTAAATTTTGATGTTATTACAAATAGTGTTTACGAAGAATTTAAATCACAAATTGATCAAGTTTATCAATGAATACAAAATTTCTAAAAAAAAGATCAATGAGTTCGAACAAACTATTGACATGCACATGTTATTTGCATACGCTTAAAATATACTTTAGGCTTTCTCTTTTTCTATACATATATTTACAATTGAAAATGAATATATATATAATTAAAATTTGAGTTTCTTCTATTTATTCTTGATATAAAATCAACAAATGGCAAAAGTAAAAAAGAACTACAAGAAAAGTGTTATCTAATTTCTATTGAAATTTGACTAGACCTGATCAATTCTTTTTTCTCTTTCAAATATTAATGATTACTCGTCGAACATTGAGTAAAAGAGAAAAAGAACGGGTACATCCCAATTTCGGACACTTTTTGTTTTTGACCAATTAAGAAAAAATGTCTGCAAAGTAGAATCGATTAAGAGAGAGACAAAAAAAATGATCGTATTGTCAAATCAAGACAAGATTAATTATGTGGAAAAATACAATCATAATCTAAATATAATCAAATATTTAATTTTGTATTAGGTTTATCGTCAAGATCATCTGAAAATTCTTACTTCATTTGAATCAAAATTTTTTCATTTGCCACTGATGTAGCGCTTCATGAGCGTGTCGAATGTTGTTGATATTGCTCTTGCTCAACCGGAACCATTTTTGATTGTTCAAACTCCTAGATATATCTTTTCCATAATGAGCGAACAATGCGTCACGGATGTGTGGATATGAATGAGTATCTTTCTATGTGGCCTCACTCAAATTCACATGCACTTTTGATGCTCCTCTAAGATACATTAAGTCCCGTGCCATCGAAAATCAGTCTTGACCAAAGTACACTCATATTGCATGAAATTTTCAGGATATGTGAGGACTATAGTGAAAACGCTATGATAAAATTCTCAAAAAATTAATGCTCTAATTATAAAAGTACTATTTTATATAACAGTAACAAAGTTTAAAGACAGAAATTTTTGAAAACAAAATCAAGTTCTAAATAAAAAAAACACTTCACTTATCTCAAGGTTCGTGTTTTCTATGGAAATGGACTTTATTGAGGAGATCGTTTAAAAATAATATGTCATACAACCAATTGATCATGAAACATTTTCCTACCATCTTTATTCAGATTCAAATATTTCGATGTATTTGATAATAAGAATCGAATTGATCATGATATCTGTCTAAGTTGCTATTAGTTTTTGATTGAATTTCAATGAGATCATATAAAGTTCAGCATGAGGGAGGAAATACGGCATGCTCAACATATGTATAAAAAAAGTAACCTATTAATTGAAAATAATTTTGGTTTACATTACTAATTTTTTTAATAATATTTAATAAAATGCTAGATTAATTTCTCTTAAATCGAGTTAGCTTGATTGATCGTGATACTACTATATCCTATATTCAATTGGTTCTGTATGTTCGCAATCAAGAAGAAGTGAAAAAGTAATAGTAGAATCGAATTCTATAAAAAAAAAAAACACGATTCATAAGCCATTCGGATTAATTGATTTCTTTATTTGAAAATGCATGGATGTACATTGATCGCAATAAGGTGCGAAAAAAAAATTAAGAGAAAAACTTTGGAATAGTTACTATGATGATCTGTAAAGAATTCATGAATAACTATATTCAACATTTCTGATCTAGGTTATTGATTAGGTAGAAAATGGGCGAAGCTGTTCTTTTCTAAGAATATCGAACTTTTTTTGCAAAAGACTTTTAAAGTCTTGTAGAAAACCGTGACAGAAAAGATATTTTCGTGGTTTTTGCTCTGTTTTTGATATATGTTCTCATGAAGATGCTTTCTCTCGAAGAAAATATCATGTAAAGTCGATGCCTTCAGTCAGAAAGACGAACCATGACATTTTCTATCGAATTGTCAACCGTTTCTACTCTCAAAAACAATCAAAAACTCTGTTCCACATTATCAAAGTAGTACACGTTTATATGTTATTTCTCACACTCTTGTATTCACCTATCTTCAGCATTTCATTGATAAAAATATGAGTGCAAAAACCGTCAATAATCGCTTACTTTGATATTCAAATTAACATGAGATAAGAAAAGTGTAAAACACCTTCCTTAGTTTCCCGAAGAGCAAGGAATATTTTTTAGTAACGGAGGAGAGAGAGAAAGGGCACACTCGAACCCTGCGAGTTAAATTTTTTGACTTCGAAACCTAGATCCGACTGCAAGACGCCTCGAGAATTTTCTTTGACTAGCATATGTACTTCTTTTAGCGCTACTTGTTAACGAAAATGTCTTTTTAGTGTTTTTTTTTGTCTTGACACTTATTTATGAATCTATACATTCGTGTATTTTTGTTTTGTACTTAGCAGATGAAGAATAACATTGTTACTATGCAAGAGTAAAAATAATAAAGTGTTTCAATGATGTAACTCCGACATTTCCTTTGACTCAGGGCTCTAGTACATACCTCCGTTTTCGCGGCTCCTGATGATATGTATTTAAAAACATACTCATTTGAATTATCTAATCATTCACATCTTTTATTAAGATTCTTTCGAAGATGCCTAAAAACGATAATAAAAATCTCTACATAAATTCACGTCATATTATCAAAAGATGTCGTTATTAATATACCACCATGCGATAAAAAAAGAACGTTCTATTGTAACCAATCATAATGCTTGACTCAATTTCCTCCATTTTCCATGTTTTCTTTTCTGATCCATTCTTTCAAAAAAGAAAACAATCGTAAACATCCACAACATAGCAATTCTATTTAAAGCTATTCTTTCTACTATCTATTGATCATGGCTGAAGCTCTTAGTGATGATCTCGAACTTAATACCAATGCTTCAGTAGCTGTTCAAGTCAACTATCCAGGACCAAAATCTGATATTCAATATCCATTAAATGTACAATATTGTGGCGGTCAGTTTCTTCTTCTTTCGATTCTAATGAATTAATACTCGTTCAATATATATCCTACAGAATGTTCTCTGCCACTTGAATACTGCGAATATGGTCCAGGTAATAAATAACAAAATCTGAAATTATTTTTCGACTTGATTTTTCTTTAAAGATCCTGAACGATGTCGTGAATGGCTTGAACGAACATTACCTGATTTATTAAATCAAATGCAATCGACCGGTTCTGGTGATGATAAAAGTGGTGAAAAAAAAAGACAAACTCGAGGTGGTAAAGGTATGCCAAAAGGAAAGAAAAAAAGTGAAGCTCAAAAAATTATACTTAATAAACAACAAAGAAAAGGAAATAAATATGTTACTATTGTTCAAGGTCTTGCATCAAATGGTATGAAAAGAAAAATTAACTGAAATTTATTCGTTACATTTTTTAATGATTATTTATATATTTTCTAGAAGTTGATATGGAATTAGCACGAAAATTTTTTGCTCAAAAATTTTCATGTGGTTGTTCAAAATCAGGTGATGATGAATTAACTATACAAGGTGATGTTGTCAGTGAACTTATCGATTTATTACCTGAAAAATGGAATCAGGTATTCACTTTCTTTTTGTTTAGTTTATTTGATTTATTAAAGATTTTTCTTTGTTTTATTTTTATTTTTATTTAGATTAATCCTGAACTAATTGAAGATAAATCTTGAATATAAATTTATGTGTTTTTGTTGTACGATGAGAAAAATTTTTTTGTTATTATTTATTTTATTTTACTTTTCGTGCAACATTGTACACATCTTTATCATTTAATTTTAGATTTCTCTTATATCCATCGCCTCTTTTTTTTTTAACTATTAGAAAAAAAACCAATGGCTAAAAGCAAAAACCATACCAATCATAATCAGAGTATACAAATTGAAATTTTCGAAAAAATTCTATTCCATATTATTTTCTTTTCTTTAACTAGACCGAAAGGATCATCGTAATGGAATCAAGCGACCACAATCACAACGATTTCCATCATTAAGTGGAGTATGTCAAATAGAAACAAAAAAAAAAAAAAAAAGCTTAACATTTTTGTTATTTTGTTACATAAGGTTGATCCAAAATATGTTCGTAATTTAAAATTTACAAAACATCACAATCATGTTGCACGTAAAAATTTACGTAAAGTACGAAAAGCTAAATTAGCCAGTGGTGACGCTACATCAAGTAAAGGTATTAAACGAATTGCTCGTCAAGTTGTACCAACAAAAACATCATGGTCACTTACATCATTATTACAAAATATATCGTCATATTTTACTGGTGAAACAACAAAACCCGTATCACAAAAACGTGCAAAACGTAGACACCCAAATAAGAAGTCAAGCAAATCAACAACAACAACAACGGCAACAACAGCTGCTAAGAAATAAATTTTTTCAGTTGTTTTTGATTTTGTGTTGTATGAACATATCATTAGTTTAATGATACTGTTAAAATACAATGGAAAAAAAAGAAAAGAAATAAAAGAAAACCATCTATAAGAACATTGGAATTTTCGTTTGGTTTTGCTTTAAATCGATTTGTAGATAAAATATGAATGTTGAGAAATATACAAGAAGAACTAGATGTGCAATATGTTCGCGTGTTTGTAAGTTAGAGTTTAGAACGAAAGAAAAAAAAAGGACAAAATAAATTCTTGTTTTAGCTTTCAACAAAGAGAATACAGATCAAAATCCTTGTGAGACATATTTACTTCAATTTTTAATTGAATTACAAGAAAAACTTGATAATCAAAATAAAATAGATGAACATTTTTCTAATTCAATTTTTGATGATGAAGATGATATTAATCAAACATCATGTAATGGTTTAACATTGATGCATATTAATGTTCTTGGTGGTGAGTGAGTATGGTGTTTACCATTATTTAATCGATCAATAAATAGTTTTGTCCTACAAATATTTTACCTTGCATGGTATACCAATTGATTATTTCAATATTTTGAGGAGAAAAAAAAAATCGTTTCTCATTTTCTAATTATTGAATTAAACTAGGTCGAAATGATTCTTCTGCAAATGACTCTGAAGAAGAAAATAATACGTTCGTTCCACTATATGAAGAATCAATAGCATTGAAAATTTATCAAGTTCTTTTGAAACGTGGTGCTTCACCCAATGGAAATTCTATTTATGAAATGCGTCCATTACATATTGCTATTCGAAGACAATGGTTACAAGTTAGTCGACTTTTGTTAGAAGCAGGTAGATTAAATAAATACTACAATAATAGGATGATCGAAAGGTTACTCGACAATCTTTATTCATGAATAGCTTTTGATAGAAACAAAGATTAGAGAATTGCAGATTTCTTCATTCAGAAAAGATTGTGTTACTTCATGATGGTATATATGATTCAACAATGTCCATTTTCGATTAACAATTTGTTGGCGAGCAGGCTTCAGCGAAATGCTGAAAGCATTATGCAGATGAGACCAGGGTTTTCGATGAGAAACGGGACTTGCTTTCCTTAAAATGTTTAACTTTCTGTCATTTGTTTAGTTTCAAGATAAATTTGAGCAGTAACCGAGTTTTAAAACCATGTGCTTTTCTCTAGCAAAGAGTGAAATGAAAATAAGCAGATAATGATGAAGGGAGATCAGTATAATTAGGGAGAGGTGGCCTAGTGACAGATTATTTATTGTGGGACAGACAGATTATAATAGTTTTCGTTTTTCTTGTATAGTCTTGCACCTATAACTCTGAAGTGAATCATGGTAAAAATTTTCGACTTCAAATGTGGCCATGTATCATGTACATGCGGATGTAGCACATTTCTAAGAATTAACTTCTGTGTCGTCATCATCATAGAGGTATCAGTATTTTTCTAAAGCTCACTCGCTGATAATTTAGTTGTCAACCGATATTTTTGTATCATAAGTCGAATTGTGCCGTGTCATAGTGTCTTTAAAATAGTGAGAGACGCAGTTCTCTCTCTTGTTTCTACCAAAAGTAAATTCGTAATCGAAAATTGTTCGGTGACTATTAGATAATCTTGTATATGTTGAACATATAATATTATGCTTTCAGGTGCTAATCCCAATGTTCCTGAAAAAGATATATATGCTTCTCAACCTATGGATATTGCTGTACTCAATGATGATCCGGAAATGATTGAAGTATTTTTTTATTTTTGTATATTTTTTAGAAATGATTCTCATGATTTTGAAATGTACATAGTTACTTCATCAATATGGTGCTTCTATAAATGGATTTAAATCAATGTTTCATCTTACACCACTTGCTGAAGCATTTACTCGAGGATATTTTGATGTATTCAAAATTCTTTTAGAACTTGGCGCTAAACCAATATTAAATCTTGATCGAAATATATTTCGTTCATTTGGCACACAATTATTTGATACTGGTATAAAAGGACGACGCCATTTTATACAATTAATGTATGATCATGGTAATACAATAACTATAGAATTAATTTCTAAAGATAAATAATCATAATGTTTAGGAGGTAATATTGAATCTCAATTCAAATTACATGCAATGCGTGTTGAACCTGATGGTATTATTCAGCATCAACCACGTTTAAAATTTAGTTGTGATCCTATTTGTATTGCTGATCTTGATTCAGAGATATTTAAAAAATGGATTTGTAAGTCATATTATTATAATTATTATTATTTAATATTGATTAGAATATTTTCTTGCTAGGTGAATCTCGTTCATTAAAAGAACTTTGTCGTTTAACTTTACGTCGTTATTTTTTTAATACATTTGACGATGGTTTTAAACGTCTTTCAGCCCTTAAATTTCAAATTGAATTAGATAAACAATTGTATAGTTATATCATGTTTAATAAAAAAACATAAATCCGTCTTTTTTTTTTCCTGTAAATAATATTCTGTTTTTACCTTTTATTGATTTATGTATCTAATCTCGAAATTTATATAATAAATTCAATATTTTGCTCGCTATTCATTTTTAATGATAGTATCTGATGAATCAAAATTCTGAATTTAATAATTGAATCATATGAAAAATATACATTATTCATGGATTTTAAATCGTACACAAAAGTAACAAGTTAACAGCCCAAAGTAGAATTGTTCAAGCAGATGTATAGGATCTAGTAATTATACTAACCTTTTCCTAATTCACTTGTGTCCAGAGAGATAAGGAAGGATTTTTTTTTACCGATAGTATCAGAACATCAGATACAATAGTTAATATAGCGATGAGTGTAGATACGAGCAGGAGTAACTGTTTCCAGCACTAACCAGGAAAGTTTCCGAACTGATCAGTTATTTTTCAACCGAGACAGTTTGCATTGAATAAATGCTAATGGGCTATGAAACACTCTCAAAATAGTTCGTGTCTTCAGTTTATTGCTGTGAATATCGAAGAGTTTTACAATATTTTTTTAAATGAATACGTGATTCTTCTCAAAAACGCTAGAAAAACGGGTTTTCGAATTTTAGTTTGAAACTTTACATAGATATATGCCTTACCAAGAGTAGTTTATTATGAAAATTTCAGCCTTTTTGATTTACGACTTGTTTGATATACGAGCATAAAATGTGCTAGTATATATGAACGACATAAAAGACATGCTTTTGCTATAGATGTACCTTAGGATAGGAACAAAAAGAAGACCTAAAACATTTACAAAAAGTAATCTCGTCAAAGTCTGCCTGCATGCAATGTCTCAAGTCGATATTTAAATATCAGTTTTTTTGGAGTCTCTGACAGGATCACGGCATTGAGTTGGAATTACTGTAGAAATGTAGTATCTGGAATAAAACAAACATAAAATCAATCGTCTTAGTTTCTTCTCTCGTATGAAAAAATACTTTAGTCTCGATTACGTTAAGGATGAAAGTAGTATGCTCAAGGATAGATTAGAAGCATTCTTATTGATAAAATTTTTAATGAGACTGAACACCTAGAAATTGCATTGTGTTAAATCGATTAGGTAACTATAAATCAGTGACCATGTATTCTTATACATCTTTATGTAATCTTTTTCATAGGCACTTCTATCGTTTCTTTCAATTGATAATCGTTAGGCAATTATTTATATTGCATAGATAATCAAGAGTGTGATATCATTCAATATGTTCGTTTTTTTTTCAAAGCTATCCTGCTGGTCACTCGTCATAATAGAGATACTCAACGATACTTTAAATGAAACTAAAGTTAATAAAGATTTTTCGTTTCTATTATCTTGTTATGTAAACCAATAATAATCTATTCATGCAACAATCTAATCTGTATCACTTACTATACTATATATACTTCTCATATGTCAGTATCCAATGCTATTCAATATTCCGAAGAAATTAATCTGCATAATGAAATGCTTGTAAAAATCTTGAACAAAAAACTCTTAATTTTATTTGAATGTTTTCTTATCAAAGAACTAATACATGAACAATAAGAGATAAAGGAGAAAAAAAACAAGATAAGCAAAGCATTTATCTCTATGTACAAAAAAAATAAACGATCGGAAGATTTTCGAATAACAATTATCAGCCGTATCTTTGTTCGTAATGCATACAAACACGCAATATAGAAATAATCTGACATAAGACAATCACATAATTATTTATTTTGATTATTGGCAAGAGCTCGACGGCGTTCAATATATTTCGAAACATTCCATTCTTGACTTTTAATGTTAACATCACCATTACATACGAATAATAATTTGATTTTTCTACTATATTTAAGATTTGGTAAAAGCTAAAAAAAAACATTAAACAAATGAAGGAACCATCGAAACTGACGCCCACTAATTTGAGCATATATTGGACGCACAAAGATGCTTGCATGAAACCATCAAAAGTCTCAAATGTTTCATTCCGATGAGCCTTTGAAGCCGAGTTATGATTACTATACGAAATTTTCAATTAACCAAAAATGGAAATTCAATGCAAAATTTTGTCAACAGATCAGTCTAATAATCTCAAGTATATTTTGAAAGATTCAGCCTGAAAAAATGTTTTGTCAAGATACTGAATTTTTAAATAAACTCGAGATTTGTATCATGGCCTGTAGGAAGCAATTATTATTGAGAAATTCAATATCTCGATAAGACAACATTATGGCATCCTCAAATCATAAGAACATCTTTGCAGGTCCACTGTAAGCTCAAGCTACGAGTATCATTCTACTGCTTTCCGCTTAAGGAAATTCTTTTTTTTTTTGTATTTTCTTACTTTAGGCGAAAGTAAAAAATACTGTGAATTAGCTTTATCAGATGAATGTTTAACAAGTAATTCAAAAACACGTCGTTCATTTGTTGGATCCATACCCTTAAAAAATAAACATTTCAAAAAATAATAATTACGAGAAAAAAAAAACAAACGTTACTTGATTTATTTCATCAACACATCGAAATGGACAAATAGTCATATTTTGTAATGCAATCATATATAACATAACTGATACACTTTTTTCACCTCCACTTTGTAAAAATTCACTCTAAAAAAACAAAGAATTAAATAAAACTTATTCGAAATTATTTTACCATTTCATGTAACTTTTCTCCATCACGAAATTGTACTTTAATATTAACACCATATTTTTCAAAATCTTTCTAAAATTGATAAAAAAAAAAAAAAAAAACTTGAAAAGAGAAAAAAAAAGTTTTTTGTTTTTGTTCTCTTACTGGTGATTCAGGTATATCTAAACAAACTTGACCTTTACAACCCATTGTATTAAATAAATCAACAAATTTTTCATTTATATCATTAATCATTTTATTAACTTGATTTAACCAATTTGTTTTACTTGTATCGGCTGTTATTTGTCCTTGTTTGATTTTATTTTCAAGATCATGAATACGATTTTCAATTTGAATTAAATTTGTTTTTTCTTGTTGATATAAACGTATAACCTTATTTACATAAAAAAAAAAAGAAGAATTTTATTAAGAAGATTAAATAAAAAAAAAAACGTTTTTTTTTTGTCTTACATCATCTTTAATAGTTCCTTGACAACTAAGTTGAGCATTAAAATTCATAATTTCAGATTCTAAATCAGCTAAATTTTTAGGAAACTTAGCAAATTTAGTTTGTAATTCTTTAAGAATTTTATTTGATAGAATATTTGTATCAGATGGAATGTTTTTATCTAATGATTTGAGAACTTTTTGTGCAGCAACACGTATTAATGTTCCACTTGTTTCTAAACGTTTTTTTGAGTTAATCGTTTGTTCCTAAATAAAAATTAAAGTTAAGAAATATAATTTTAACAATCAATCGAAGTTCTTTATTTTTGCCAAATATTCAGAATGATGATTATAATTCAGTTTTCGTATAAAATGAGGTGAAAGCTGCAGTTTTAACATTCAAAGTATCTTACGGTGACGTACACAATAAATAATGGTGAAATAAATGATTATCTAACTATTGACGATCATTTATGACTAGATTTATTTGATTTGAGTAAAAAGATTCAATTATTTTTCAATCAAAATGAATAAGTAAACTGATTTTCGTTCAAAGAGAGTCAAGAAACTGTTCATTTAGTCCTATCAAATCACGTTCTTTATTATTTTATTTTGTAAAATGAAAATTATTTAATAGAAATTAAATTTTTACTCATACATAGGTTTTCGAAATAGAGAATGAAAGAAAATCGTTATTCTTCGAACTCTTTAGAAAGAATAGCAATTTTCTCGTTAAATTCAAGTCAAATAGAAGCAGTCCTAGTATGAATATTCATTTGAAAAAGATGCGGATTTCGTCATTCATTAATGAAGAAAATTTTTCACATGTTTCATTCAAATTTTAATAATCTTTTGTCTATAGATATTATGTAGGATTCTACTGGAAATTCTAAAACGATTTCAGTTCTTAGTTTGATTTGACTAACCTAGCAGATTTTTTCCTAAAGGGCCTAAGTTTTTGAAATACTTGTAGGTTCGTATTTTGATTAGAAACTTTACGCAGTCAAAGAACTCAACTAGATTAACTTCAATTAAAATCTCTTCGAGAAATGAAGCTTTTCAAAAATACATCTTGTATACAATATCTATGAAAAAGACTCAATATCTTGAGAGTTTCATGTTTTAAAGAGGCTTCGTGCAAAGATCTTTTTATGAAAGCTAGTCTAGTTGAGTTCTCTGTATGTGTAAAATTTCAGATCAAAATTCGATAACTTAGCAAAATTTTAATAGAAATCTAAATCATTTTGAGCATCTTTATTAGACTACTATTTAGTATCTAAAGATGAAAAATCATTGAAGTCTGAGAAAAATATCTGAAGACATGTCCTCGTAAGACATTCAGAAAATCATGGAATAAAATTTTTGAGCACATTTCATGATATGTTTTGTGTCAAAACTTTTTGTCAATGTTTAGAAAAATTATTTCTCTAAATTTCTTCTTAATAATTATAGAAATATATAAATAGCTATAAGATTCAGATATATAATCCACTGAAAATCTTTAATTAAAAAATTGTTTAAAAATTTCTCAAATCATCATTTTTATGCGTTGATCTAATGTTATATGACGAACATGTTATAAAAAGAAAACAATAGAATATATAAAAGAAACATACTTTCAGTTGAGTTAATTCTTCATTGTATGTCTCAAGTTTTCCAACATCTTTAAGATGTTGTTGTCGAGCAAGAGCTAAATGACCACTATCGACCATCATAGTACTACATTTTTGATTAAAATTCTAAATCAATAAAACAAATAATATTGTTGTATAATTATCTTTTTTTTTTCTTTTATTTATTATTATGAATAACCTCAAATTCTTTAACTTGTACACTTAATTTATGCATTTTATCTTCATGAATTTTCATTTCTTTTTCATGTGCTAATTTTTCTTCTTTTTCAATATCAATTTGTTT